TTCAGGATCTTAAGGATTATTGCGAGGATTCCATCATATCCACATCTTTTATGGGGATCCAGTTTAGAGATGATAGCAGAATCCATGCATATCATTCAGAAACTCAGTTCTAATTGAAAAGTCAGGCAAAGATACACCAGATGAGGCAAGAGATGAATTTGAAGAGAATTTACGGATAAAACCTTTTTCTTCATCAGCAGAAGATGTTAGCACCTCAAATTGAGTGAAGAGAAGAAGAATAGAAGACTTAATTTAACGCACTATTGCAGAGCCGCCAGTAATCACGAGAATCAAACATGTTAGATGATATACTGTGCTTCATTCTCTCAGCAAGTAAAGATATGTTTACAATTATTACAAGCAGACACAAAGTGTCGTCTGGATATCTTTCTTTTATTTGTTTCTACAATGTATAGTATTAATGGTATGATTGATTGTCGTGTTGTGCAAGTCGTCTATATTTCGGCACAGATATTGCTCACAAATGCAAATCTGGTCAAAAATTCTTTACGGAAATTTATATATATATATATATATATATATATATATATATATATATATATATATATATATATATATATGCGTGCTCGCGCGTGTGTGTAAGCTACTAACATTTTTTGTAGTCTACTGCAATGTTGTTCAGAGGCATATCAACACCTCTATGGGTTATTTAATGCCAAAATCTAAATATTTTAAAGTAATTTGATGCTTACAACTACAGATATTTAGTACATAATTTTATATTTTCAGGGAAAACGTATGTTTTTTTAGATATATATATTGTAGATCATAAATGTATTGTTAATGTGTCGCTGGTAATTTCACTACAAAAATGTAGTGTTGGTAATTTTATAGTAAAAAATGCATTTTTATACTATTTAGTGTTGTATTGTCATTTTACTATAAAAATGTACTGTTGATTTTTGTTTTAGGAGTTAACTATTTGGCCATAGCTGGGACCCTAACTGGTGCTACCATCTCGGTTTAGGGGGAACCTAGATAAAACAGAAGTTATTAGGTGTTTCCGCGCTACTCAAAACCTCCAATCTCTAGATCAGTCCTTGCTGCCGGATTTAGTTTGTCGTCATATCCAGGAAAATATTTTTGCCATCACGTATATAACATTATGTATATCCTGTACATACCTCATCTATATTGATATATATATATATCTATATATATATATATATATATATATATATATATATATATATATAGCGAGAGAGATAGGTAGATAGATGCAAGTTCAATCAGCTAGTGGATTTATTTATTAATCCGACCAACATTTAATCAAATCTTTTTATTCACGTTTAATTTAATTTTGTTGGTATTTTTATCAGTCTGTTTTGCATGTACAATTCCTCTACAGCGATCTATTTGTTGAAATTTGACTAAAATTTAATGCAAACGTTTTATCAATATACACTTTTTTAGTAGATAGATATCTTTTAACAGATTGAGATAGATAGATAGATAGATAGATAGATAGATAGATAGATAGATAGATAGATAGATAGATTATCCTCGCTACACTTATAACTGTTCATATATGTATTTTTGCGCGTGTATTTAATTACGTTCGCATCTTACATAAATGCACGTGATTACATTTCTCTTGTGTTTGTTTGAAAGAAAGAGAAACGGTGAGAAAGAAAAACAGAAAAAGTGAAAGAGAGAGAGAGAGAGAGAGAGAGAGAGAGAGAAATGGAGAGGAGAGTTGAAATATTTTCTATTTATACTTTATTGTCATGAATTCATAATCGAATCTGGATTCGATTCACTCTCCAAAAAATGTCATCTGTATGAAGCGATGATGATGATGATGATGATGATGATGATGATGATATCTTTTCAGATAAGGTTGCCGAAACTTTGTGCAACAAATTTGGAAACCACAATGAATTGTTCAATTCGAAATTGACTGAGAGGGGGGGGGGGGAGAATAGGCTCAGATTGTAAAAATGCGAAAATCGTAAAATTGTTAAGCTCGAAAAAAGGGAAAGAAGAAGAAGAAGAAGAAGAAGAAGAAGAAGAAGAAGAAGAAGAAGAAGAAGAAGAAGAAGTGCGCAGGATGATAAAATAGAACCAGAAAAAATAAGATGAGAACAAAGAAAACCTAACACAGCGAGGAAGAAAAAGCAACAATGAGAAAGAAAAAGAAGGATAAGGATGATATGCAGAGATGAAAGAAAGAAAGAAAGAAAGAAAGAAAGAAAAAGAAAGAAAGAAAGACGGGAGGTAGGGAGGAAGGAAAAATGACGAAGGTAATTAAAAATAGAAGAAAATGAAATAATCGAAAAAAGCGTTTGGAACAAAAAATAAAGAAAATAGGGGAGAAAAGTTTAAGATGACAAAGGAAGGACCTTGACAAAGAGAAAGAAAAAAGAGGAGGAAGAATCGGGATGAGGTGAAACGAAGAAAAAAAATGAATAAAAGAACAAGAAAATGGAATAAAAAAAGAAAGAGAGGAAGAAAAAAGAAATAAAAAAGGAGAAAGCATTTTTTTTTATTAGTTACTGTCGCTTAAAACAAGAGTTAAGAGAGAAAAAAAAAACAATTGCGCCTACCGTAGCATTTCTTTATCTATCATATACCACGGGAAATTCCATCTTGAACTGAGTTCGATCTCCACTGACTATCCACAATGGTACTAAGTCTCCATTTGTTGCGAGAAATCAAGGTTCAAGTCGAGAGAGACCAAAATTTCGAATGTTGAGTTTTTTGCTAAAATTAACAAAATGCACTTTTCTTTCTCCATCTCATTTTCTTTGTCCCTCTAGCGTACCAGAAAGAAGAGGATGGATAAATTAAACCAAGCCAAGTCTGTCAAAGCGTCAGCTTCTTGGAGCCAACATTTTATGTAAGACAAGAACTCTTACAGAAAAAGTCGAACAAATGACTTGGGAAAAACTAAAAATTCTCGAAGAAAGATCGAAAGGAAATGGTGATGACGAAAAGAAAAAAAAAAGATTTGGAAAAATCGGAATAATACTGAAACGAGCAAAAAAAGCGCGAGGAATCGAAGGAATGGCGCCTTCTTGCGTTAAAATGAGTGACTAACAAAGGATGCTTCGATTTTAAAAATTAATTTTAATAACAATGATATTATTTTTATTATTATTATTATACCGAAGAAGAAGAAGAAGAAGAATGTATATTATGTCCTTTATGAAAATGCTCAGAAAATCGTATTCATGAAACGGTAACACGTAAGAAAAAGATAATGACAATTTTCGAAGATGTCTTCCTAATGAAAAAATTATTTGCTTTACTTGTGCACTATATTTATGTATTGTGCTATATCAAATTAAGTATATATTCGCCTAAAGAAAACCACCAAAATATGTGATGTACGTAAATTTTCCCGTATATACACTGAACGGTTACTTTAGAACATGTTATATATTTTTGTGTCGCTTTGTAGCATTTTTACCTTTAAAAAAAAGTTCCTCTTGGCATGAATTCGACGATGTTCTAGAAGCCCTTTTCCGAAATTTAGGTCCATGTTTTAATCATGGCACCGCCCATCTCTTCTTGATTGGATAGCTGCGCATTCACGATCCGAGTCATTTTCCACAACATTCCAGAGGTGCTCTATGGAATTGAGACCCGTACACTGTGGCAATCAATGTAAGACAGAAAACGCATGGCTTTGTTCTATGAGCCAGTCTTATACTATTATTGATATTTAACACAATGCGTTGTCTGATGGGTGTGGCCAGCTAAGAGAGGATGCAACGTAATCACAAATTGATGTATGTGTTCAATAATACATTTATGCTGTATTTAGATGATCCTTTATTGGTATCAGGGATCGAAATATATGCCAAGAACAACTTCCCATACCATTACACCACCACCACCACCACCACCAGTAGCAGACTGAGCCATTGATACAAGACAGGATGGATTCATATTTTCATGTTATTTATATAAAATTCTGGTTCCACCATCAGAATGTCTGAGCAGAAATCAAAATTCAACAGCAAAGTTTTCCTAATCTTCTATTGTGCAATGTTTGTGAACCATAGCGAATTGTAGTTTCAGTTTCTTATCTGACAGGAGTGGTACCAAGCATGGTCTTCTGCTGCTGTAGCTTGTCTGTTCAAGGTTTGATTTGTTATGCATTCAAAATGCTCTTCTCTATACCTCTGTTGTAAATAGTGGCTATTTGAACTACTCTTGCTTTTCTGTCAGTTTGAATTAATAGATTAAATAAAGGGTTTAGTTTAAAATTCCATAAAGGTTACCTGGATCAACAAGCACCGGATAAAGGCCAGAAGACACAACGGTTGAAACATTATGACAGTAACAGCAAAGATGAGGACAATAGTCCACTTGTAAATAATGTAAATAAGGATAACTTCACATTCCACAAAAGAGTAATCAATATAGGAATAAGGAGTTTATAGATATACAAATGCGTGAATGATCTAATGATAAAAATGCTATTCACCATGAAGTGTTGATTTCTATGCTCTCATCTACACACACACACACACACACACACACACACACACACAGATATATATATTAGACCCTTTTGCTTTTAGAATCACCTCAATTCTTCTTGGTATGGATTTGACAATGTTTTGGAAGCACTCTTTAGAAATTTACATCCATGCTGTTATTATGGCATCCCATATTTCTTCTAGATTGGTTTACTGCACATCTCACTTTTCACTACATCCCAAGAGTGCTCTTATGGGATTGAGATCTCATCACTGTGGAGGTTAACTTTAACAGAGAAAATGCATTACTATTTTCCTTGAACCAATCTCCTACTATTTTTTATTTGTGACAGTGCATTGTCTAGATGGAAATGGCCATTAGATGATTGGTGCACCATAATCATAAATTGAGACACAGGGGTCAACTGCAACATCTAGATAAGCTGCAGTATTTAGATGATCTTTTATTGGTACCATATCAAAATGTCGCAGTAGAAATCGAAACGCACCTGACGAGGAATGGTTCAATCTTCTGTTGTTCAACATTTGTGACCTTTAGCAAATTTTAGACTCAGTTTTTTTTTTTGTTCTTATCTGATACGAATGATCCTCTGTGGTTTAGAATCTCTACTTCAAGATTCGACGTGGCTATTCGAGTTCTTGTTGCATTTTTATCAGCTTGTGCTAGTATGTGATGGAAGATGTCAAAAGAAATTCTGCTCAGGGACGTTTTTCTTTTGATGCCCATTCGCTGTAAACTCTAGAAATGGTTGTGCATAATAATTCTAATTTATCAGTTTCTGAAATACTCAAGGCTGCCTGTCTGGTACCAACGATTATGCCACGTTCATAGTACGACATTATTTCTCATATTCATGAATTAAATACAATTCAGCTGAGCTGTTTTTAAATGTTTATATTTATTAACTTACTGCCACATCATTGGCTGTTTAGAAAATATCATTAATTTGAATTCATGTATACTTAATTAAGTAGTTAGTGAGTTGATATATATATATATATATATATATATATATATATATATATATATCACGTTACTGAAAGCATCTCGCTAAAACAAACACCATGTATATAAAACATCTATCTCCCACTATCAACTTCACATCGTTTAACAATGAGAGTGGCGTGCTGAAAGTGTGTATTTAAAAAAAAGAAAGAGGCTCACTCGAATCTGCGCAGGCTCTGAATAAACGCTCTTTCTAGTATTCAAAATAACACAAAAATACATCTCAAACAGTGAAAACATAAAGAGAAACTAACACCAAAACAACACCCCCTTTAAAAATGGGTAAGGAATTGGCCGAAAACGCCTGGGACATTGGGAGTTGTGGACAGTTTTGTACCCCCTCACTCACGCTAAATGGAAAATGGAAGAACGCTGAAGAAATTAAATAAAAAATTAAAAATGAATATTTTTAACATTTCCATCATATTTAACGAAAGATGTTTAAAAGAAAGATTATATATATATATATATATATATATATATATATATATATATATATATATATATATATATATATATATGGAAGAGGTCATAGTTGTTCCAACGAGAGAAAAGTGTATATTATTAATTATTCTTACTTACAAATACAAGAAAAAATACTTCAGAAACAAATTTAAACCAGCACTAAATAGATCATAACCCCACACACAAAAGCACACAACATGCAGACATAATAACCAAATACAGTAGTCGATTCTGTAACGCTGACATAGAAGATTGCTATGCAACGATAATGGACGCGAAATATCAGACGCAAATCGTAAATTTATAATACAGTTCTATGACGTCGTACCACACGAAAGAACGAAATACAAAGGAATATTCATGTTCTCGCTGTATCGCTGCTGTTCGTATTTAGTTTTCTACAGGTGAAAAAAAAGCGAATGTACGTTTTATGTAAAATCCTAGTATGTTCGACTTTACGTAGAATTTATATATTTTTTATAGATACGACCAGGTTGGTACTCTGACTAAAAGATATAAATTTTGGAAATATATACTTATTTACTTATGTGCAATGATTGTAACCATGATGACGTTGTCATGGTTGCCAGAATGGAAATGTTGTCACGGTCACAAGAATTGTAATGTAATGGCGGAAAAGAACTCATAATTTCCAGGCAGAATATAGATACATTGACTAAGCTTAACGTCTTAACCCGCCACAAGGTCAGTAGATTATTCCAAATAAAAACGACCAGCGAGTCTCCATAGAAAATCATAACATAAACATTTGCTTTTAATTAAGGCTTCAACAGTAACTGTCGATACTTGTTTAAAAAAATGAACTGCCTCAGCTATCAAGCAAGACAGAAGTGTTCAGTAATGTCGTCTGTCACCTTGAATCCTGGCCATTTAAATTGAAAAATCTTTTTTTCAGTTTCTTTCACTCTCTAAGTCCTAGTGTCTTAGGGGTTTTATTGCCTTCCTTAATGATTAAATTAACCGTACGAATTGAATAACTAGTTAGTACTCAAATAAAATAAGGTAAAAAAGATTAAATTAAATACAGACATCGCAAAGAAAGAGAAAAGAAGAAAGAGAAAAGAAGAAAGAGAAAAAAGAAAGAGAAAAGAATGGTGAATTGAAAGATTAAGTAGTGTAATGAAATAAGAAAAAGGGAAAAGATGAAATGAGAGTGTGGTCGTGTAATGAAGGCAATGAAGAAAATAGAGAAAAGAAGAAATAGAAAAGAAGACAGAGAAAAGTAGAAAGGGAAGAAGGAGAAAATAAGAAAGAGAAAAGATGGATGAATTGAAGTAACGGGAAGCGATGAAACCAAAAAAAAAAGAAAAAAATTTGAAAAATACGTAATAGAAAAAAGAAAAGAAAGAATAGAAAACTGTTTTTCTACTCAAAAGAATGAAAGAAGAAAAATCAATGTACACACCACCCTCATATATATATATATATATATATATAGCAACATAAGGGAAAAAGCTGCATTAAAAATACCTTAAAAGCGAAAGATGAAATAAAATTTGATGATTCGACCGCGAAGTCACGCGAGATCTCGCATTT